AGGGAGAGAGAGGCAGCATCTCCAACAGGGTCCTGATGCCAAAATCTACCCCTAGCTCTCAGCCAATCCCATATTGTGGGCATACATTACGCTCAATGAGAGCTATAGACTTGAACTAAGAACCTTTCCATGTGGGATTGCCTCATAGCATTGAGTTTGTCACTGCACTACCATCTGGCCCAAGTTCAGTCATCCTGATACAAGATTATTGCCCTTCGCCATCAGTACTATCCAATCTCAATGGGTAATCGCATGGGATGCATTTTTTTGTACAGTAACAAAAATAAAATAGAAATAACCTAAAATGTAATAAGTGTACAAAAAATACCATGTACAAAGGGACTTCAAGAAGTTAATGGAGGGGAAAAGCAGTTAGCGTAATGGCTATGTCGCTGGACTCCCACGTAGTCGACCGCGGTTCGCGTCCCGGACCCGGTGGCTTAAAACTCACGCCGGGCACGTGTGCGTGCGTGCCCAAGATCCCGAAAGGAGAATGGAGGAGAAGGGATTGTGGCATGACCATTCCCCCTGGGGGGTGATTTCTTGCTTTCTGTCTCTATGTCTCTCTCTCTCTGTCTGTCTGGAGAGCGCACGCACCCTATAGCAAAAAAACTCTCCAAAAAAAAAAAAAAAAACCCCCAAAAAGCCATAGTGTATATAATAAGAAAGATGGGAATAACAAGTTCTGCAAGGATGTAGAGCAACAAGATCTTTAAGAGAAAAAAAACATTTAATCTCCCTGAGAGATGTTTTCAACCAAGGAGGCACGTACAAAAACATTCATGGGGGTTGACTCTATAGTGCAGTGGTTGAGCACTGGGAATTGGATCCTATGTGGCCAACTGTGATTCAAATTCCAGTCCCAGTGGCCTAGAATAGATGGGGGTATCCCCAAGATTCTGACAGGATAGAGAATTAGAGGAGAAGGGATTGTGGTGTGACCATGCCCCATTGAGAGATGGTTTCTTACTCTCTCTCTCTGCAAGTACATGTGCCCTCTGGCAATAAAAATAAAATAACATTCATGGAAACATGAAAACCACTTAGTTGTTGATAAAGAAGACAATGAGTAAATAAAGTATCGCGCATCTAAAATATCTAAAGAGTGGGGCCAGCGAGTGACATGGTAATTGAGGTACTGGACTCCCACATGACCATGGTTTGAGTCCTGGATCTGGCAGCTTGCTTTCTCACTTTCCCTCTCTCTGTCTCTTGCTTGTGAGTGTATGTGCCCTGTAACAAATTTAAAGTAATAATAATAATGATAAATAAAATTAAAAAAAAATATTGAGTATAAATGCTTAAAAAAATGAGTAGCTCTTAAAATCTCATTTTGATATGATAAATGAAAATTCTGTAATAGCATATGGTATGTTGCCATTTTAAAAAAATGCCACATAAAGCTTTGTCATTTACATATATGTAGTTCTTTTCTCTCTATTTTATCTTCCCTTTATGACATGCACATTGGTATAAAAATGTACTTATATGGGTTGAACGGGCACACACCCAACTGATAACAGGAGACCTCCAGAGAGGGCTATGGGACTGAGTTGTGGTCAGGAAACATTTGACTTTACATCTGAATTTCTTATAATGTGAGTAAATTCATGTGTTAGCAATATATGTAATTATAAGTAACATTATAAAGAATAAACCACACTTTCAATATAACACATAATTATAAAATATGAAACAGTTCTTAAGTGTATAAGCAGAGGAAATAACCTCTTCCCACATCATCCTTACTCCCTGTTGATTTTCACATCAATTTTATAGGTGTGTGTATTCAGCAGACACTTCTTGATTTCTAATAGTACTCCAACAGTGTTCATTTATCCACCTTCTTCTGGGTAATTGGTTTCCGGGGTGATGAGCCCACGGTCGATCTGACTCAGTCATGGTGGTACCATTGTTCTTGCCAGTGATTGGTTTAGGTGTAGGCCTGTGTGTGTTGATTGGTGATTTGGCAATTGAAGTATGATGTGGGGGCAGTCCTCTGGGAGGATTCTGGGGAGAGATTTCCCGCTCTAATAAAGAGAAATACTGGAACCAACAGCTCCCCTGTGGTTATTGTATCTGGATTTGATGTGGAGCTGCTATAGCTGTCTCAAGACTGTGAATGAACTAGTCTGAGGATTAACCAATATGCCAGCAGAATAAAAAAGGTGAAAAAAACCGTGTCTTTGATAGTATGGAGAACCACTGAATTAAGCCATTATAGAACCATACAACCTCCAGGCTTGTTCTGAGATTTAAATCAATGATTTGTCATTTCCAGCAAGAAACACCTTTATACTTGCATATATACAATTCAGAATTCAAGTCGAAAAAAGGCTATATAATGTATATAATGCTATTCTGCCCTTGTTTTCACTTAACATCTCATGACTGTTATTTCATCGTTTTTCCATTGGTGGACCTTTAGATCATACTATTTATTTTTATTGTTAGAAAAATTCTCCAGAAAACATATTCTGTCTGTTTAAGAGTACTTGTGTATTTTATAGAATACATTTCTGGACATAATGTATATCAAGCAGTATACATGTGTGTATGTATGTATGTGTGCATATACTCATATACATGTATGCACATGTGTACATACATACACACATATACATACATGCACATGTATACATGTATATGTGTGTGCATATACATACACACATATACGTACATTTAAGATCTCTGTCTTCCACTCTGTTTTTCCCAAAAAGATCAGATTGGTTAGAGCCAGTGCCCATTTAATCAATTTTGTCTGTATTTAGTATTCAAATTTACCTGTTTTGGGGGGAAAACTAGCTTTCTGTTTTAGAATATACATTTCTTTATAGTCTTGTGTTTATTGACTATATTCATTTTTTCTTTTATTGGATTTAGACTATTCTGTATATGTTACTGATTTTAAGAAGTCCTTTTTTTTTTAACCCTGTTTACACTTTTTTTTTTTTTTTGGAGAGGTTTTTGCTATAGGGTGTGTGCGCTCTCTCTCAGAGAGAGACAGAGAGAAAGCAAGAAATCACCCCCCAAAGGGGATGGCCTTGCCACAGTCCCTTCTCCTTTATTCTCGTCTTGGGATCTTGGGCACACACACACACACACACACACGCACCCAGCGTGAGTTAAGCCACCAGGTCCGGGACTCTAACTGCAATCGACTATGTGGGAGTCCAGCAATGTAGCCATTACGCCATCTACTGGTCCCTATACTGTCCTTTGATACACAGGTTTAAAAAAACTTTTATGGGAACCAGGAGTTAGCGGAATGGCTATGTCACTGGACTCCCATGTAGTCAACCTTGGTTCAAGTCTCAGACCTGGCGGCTTAAACTCATGCTAGGTGCATGTGTGTGCCCAAGATCCCAAGAGGAGAATGAAGGAGAAGGGATTGTGGCATGACCATCCCCCTGGGGGGTGATTTTTCACTTTCTGTCTCTGTCTTTCTGGTGAGCGTACATGCCATATAGCAAAAGCCTCTCCAAAAAAAAAAAAATCTTTTCACATCTGTTTTCACATCTGTCCATCTTTTCCTTTATGCTTCTACTGTGTATCTCCTTTATTCAGGTTTTATTTTTTGTATTTCAGCAAAATTATATAGGGTCTACTATGTCAGTGTTACATATTTAGTTTCTTTTTTTTAAAGAGATTTTTGCTATAGGTTGCACGTGCTTAACAGAGAGACAGAAAACAAGAAATCACCTTCAGGGGAGATGGCCATGCTGCAATCCTGTCTCCTCCATTCTCAGGATCATGAGAATGCACACACACATGCCTGGCATGAGTTTTAAGCCGCCGTATCCGGGATTCCAACTGTGGTGGACTACGTGGGAGTCTAGCAATGTAACCATTATGCCATCTGCTGGTCCTAATATCTCTTTAAAAATTATTCTAGATATGGGACCAGATGACAACAGAATGGACCCAATATTTCTTTTAAAATGACTCTGGGAACCAGCAGATGGCATAATGTTTATGTTCCTGGACTCCCACATAGTTCACCACGGTTCGAGTCCCAGAGGCTTAAAAATTCACACCAGGCACATGTGCAGATGTGCCCAGAATCCTGAGAGGAGAATAGAGGAGAAGGGATTGTGGCATGGCCATCCCTCTTGGGGATGATTTCTCACTTTCTGTCTCTCTGGCGAGCATACAAGCCCTATAGCAAAAACCTCTCTTAAAATAAAATTATTCATGGGACCAGCAGTTAGCGTAATGGCTATGTCGTTGGACTCCCATGTAGTCAACCGCAGTTCACGTCCCGGACCCAGTGGCTTAAAATTCACGCCGGGCGTGTGTGCGTGCATGCCCAAAATCCCGAGAGGAGAACGGAGGAGAAGGGATTGCGACATGGCCATCCCCCCTGGGGGGTGATTTCTTGCTTTCTGTCTCTCTGTCTCTCTCTGTCTGTCTGGCAAGCACATGGGTCCTATAGCGAAAACCTCTCTAAAAAAAAAAATATTCAGGGCCAGCAGTCAGCATAATAACTATGTCACTAGACTCACATGTAGTCAACCGTGGTTCGAGTTCTGGACCCCATAGTGTAAACTCACGCTGGGCGCATGTGTGTGCATGCCCAAGATCCCGAGAGGAGAATGGAGAAGAAGGGATTGTGGCATGGCCATCCCTCTTGGGGATGATTTCTCACTTTCTGTCTCTGTCTTTCTGGTGAGTGCACACTCCGTATAGCAAAAACCTCTCCCTCCCAAAAAAATATTATTCTAGGTAGTTAAAATATTTACCCTTATAAAGGAACTTATTTTCACTGTGTATTCTAATTAGTTATCACAGATGTCAGAAGCTATTCATGCTTCTTACGAATGTAAATTCATGTAATAAGTGAAAATTTAATTTTACAGGAAAAATTGATGTTTGAGTGGATTAATTTCTAAGTAGAGCTGTAAAATATTTCTAAAACACAATTCCAAATAAATCATTAAAAGTTACATTATGATTCTAACATCTCATTAAACTGAATTTTTTTCCCTTTACCCTAACAGGTTATTATTAATTTGGTAGACCAGGCAGGAAGAGAGAAAATTATTGGAGATGCTTACCTGAAACAAGTGTTGCTCTTTAACAACTCAAATCTTACTTATGTTTCATTTGACTTCCACGAGCACTGGTAAGGTTACTTCCTGAAATCAGTTTCGATCAGTTGTAATGTTTGTGGTAGATGCTGCTATGGGGATCTTGGTTCCTCTTCTCTTTGCTAGGAAGAAGAATTTCTTTTTCTCATTATTGGAGAAGAACATTGCTCTCCGTCTCTTGTTTGCTTAGTTTTAATTTTCATATGGACTTTATTTTGGCTAAAATTTTGAGTTAATTATTCCCCAAATACTTACAGTCTTTTTGTTCAAAAATTACTTGGAAACCCAGAATTCCATTCTTGCTTTGATCACACTCATTGAACACCTTTAGTAGCGTTTCCTTTCTGCTTGCATCTGAGCCCAGCAAAAGTTAGTTTCCTTATTTAGGAATCTTTCAGCTGACTCCTTATTCTATATTAGTAATACTTCTTTTCCAATGGATAAACTTTACTAGAGTTTACTCTACAAAAACAATAATTGGTGAATCATTTTGAGGATACCTTTGACTTGTCTGTATCCTGAAAGCAAGGTTCTTTTACTGTAATCCTGTCTCTAATTTGAGCTAATTTACCTAGGTATTGGAAATTTGGCAGAGAAAGAAATTTCCAATATCTGTAATCTGTTTCAATGTATTCTTTTTTTTAAGACCTTTTATTATTATTAGTTGTCACATAATTGTACATATTTATGGGGTACAGTGTAGTTTTTTTAATACATAAATATGATGTATAATGATCAGATCAAGTGATCAATATATCTATCACCTCCAACATCTACATTACTTAAAAATAATTTATTTATTTTTATTACTTAAAAAAATTTTACATTTGGGGCCAGCAGTTTATGTGGTACTTAAAGTGCTGGACTCCCACATGACCAACCGTAGTTTGAGTCCTGAACCTGGTGGCTTCCTTTCTCATTTTCCCTCTCTCTCTCTCTCTCGCTCGTCAAATTAAAAAAATAATAATGATGAATAAAATTAAATGAAAAATAATTATTTTTAAAAATTTACATTTGATCACTCTACATCTTTACAGTGTACAAAATTGTTTTTCCCAGCATGAATACAGTGCACATCAGTCAAGTCATAGATATTACCATATACATTATCATCAACAGATACCTTTTCATTTTTGTACCAGTGAAATGCTTCTTTTTTCCTCCTGATTCCCTCCTTCCCACCTCCCTCAGTATATTCTTAAGTATGTATGTTTTCTTTCACAATGCAGATTAGTTATAAACATGTATATACTTGCCTATGTAATATATAAGAGTATTAACCTCATATACATGTAGTAGTATTTTAATTTTTCAGAACTACTTAAATATATCTTAAATAAGTTTAAAATTTTTATTATTGTATGTATTGTATTAATTTTTGGTTTTGGCATGTATTCTAGCCGAGGAATGAAGTTTGAGAATGTTCAAACACTAACAGATGCCATTCATGACATAATTCTTGACATGAAGTGGTGCTGGTAGGTATTTCATAAGAAATTATTATGACAAACTTGTGGTCTGTGAAATCATATATATTTGTCTAGTACCATTAGGTATAAGAATAATAGCAGCAGCAGAGACAGCATTTCTGTTTTACTTCCTAATGTCAGCTCTTCTTTTCAAGAGAGTATTGTTGATCAGTAGGCAGTGTTACTTTGAACAGAGAGATGATGTCAAATGGTCTGGGAAAATAAAGTGAAATGCTCTGTGATTATTCTTTAAGGAGATAAGTTTATTCCTTCTCATGCTCCATGTTCTACATTTTTTCTTTTTCCTTTTTCTCACTGTCCCTAATATGGGAAGACAGGTTTAGAGGTAATGGGTCGCAGTTTTCAGGCATTTCAAAATTATCAGAGAAGAAAAATGATTCTCAGACTACAGGTGGTAGAAGGAAGAAAAAATTGGCTTAAAGGACAGGAGAGAACATTCGATTACATTTTAAGGCTGTGTGGTGGCCAGAGAAATTAGATGAACAAGGCATGCTGCATGACTCCTCCCTGGGCGGTTAAGTAAATTAGGTCTGTTTCAGATAGTTTAGATGCATTTCTACTCTGAGCAAAAAAAAGGAACAAAGTATCATTTTAAAGTTTCTTCTTAAGTTTATAGAAAAGCATAACTTGGGGTTGTATGAGCTCTGCTTCGTAGTTCTGTGGCTTAGGGCAAGTCACTCTTTTTGTACCTTAGTTTCGTTTATATATATACATATATATATTTTGTCTAAACCAGAGTTAGGGTTCAGCACTGTGGCCTAGGGGTTAGAAGAGCCAGATCTCACGTGGCCAACCTTGGTTTGGCCCTAGTGGCAGGGCACATGTATACGCATGCCCAGAATTTTGACAAAATGGAGACATGGAGAAGAAGGGATTGCATCATGACCATACCCCACTGGGGAGTGCTTTCTCCCTCTCTCTCTGTCTCTTTCTGGTGAGCACATACTTTCTGGCAATTAAAAAAATAATAATAGGAAGCCAGCAGGTAGTGTGGTAGTTGGGGGCGCTGGGCTCCCACATGGCCAATCGTGGTTCAAGTCCTGGACCTGGCGGCTTGCTTTCTCACTTACCCTCTTTCTCTTTCTCACTCTCGCTTGCCAAGTTATTATGTAAATTAACAATAATGTCCTTGAAGGATTCAATAATTCCTTGCACTTAATAGTATTCCATGCAAATTGATACCTAATGCTGCTGCTGTTATTGTTCAAATAATTGTGTTTTTTTTAATTACTAAAATATTCATATTATAAAACAATGTGTACTATTTTTGAAAAGGGTTGATCAAGCTGGGGTAATATGTAAACAAGAAGGAATTTTTCGCGTTAATTGCATGGACTGCCTGGATCGTACCAATGTGGTCCAAGCTGCTATCGCACGAGTGGTCATGGAACAGCAGGTAATTTGGAGTCTATTGAATTTTAAATATTAATTTTAAATACCTTTCCTTAAAACATGTAAACAAATAGCTTAAATCTGTTTTCAAATGTCTAATGTCCTTTAGAACATAAAATAGCATAAAAACATCCTTGTTATGTTAAAACCTTGAAAGTACAACTTCACCAGAAGTGGGTTAAATAAAATGGCATTTTCTTAAATACGCATTTCAAAAATGTGAGGGGGCCAACCACTAAACTGTTGGGTGGCATCATGTGTTCACTGTCATTTTTCTCTCACTTCCAAACCCACACTTCCATATATGAGGCTGGGAGTCTGCACACCATGTTTTCACTGGGTTAGCTGGCTCTACCAATATGGTTGACAAAGGAATACCACAAGGCAGGCATAGGAAAGGGACACAAGTGCCTTCTCCTGTGTTTCTCCTGTCAGCAGCTAACTCCCTTGGAGCTTGCTGGTTCCTTTGTCACTGTAAACGCAGCCTCCTCCCTTTGTGCCTCAGCCCTACCAGTAGTAACTGCCTCCTTCGTTGTCTCTCATCATCTCTGTTATCTCCCCTTGTAGATGTTTCAGCCCTCTAACACCTGGAAGACCAAGTCCCTGTATTAAATTCCCAAGGTGGATATACCTAGCATGGTTTCTGTTTTGTTTTGTTTTTCTAATAGAACTTTATGGCAGTTCTTTGAAGGCATAGTTCTGTTCCTCTACTGCAGCAGACAAGCTTTTGAGTGTCCACATAATAGATAGATGTTGACCCCATGCAAAGAACTTATCCTTTTTAAATTTCATCTTGAAAATGGGGGTAATAATATTAGTTACATAATGTTGCTTTGATAAGTAAATGAGATAAAAAGCTCTCAGGACACTATCTCTGGCAAAGAGTGAACATTTATTGGGTGCTCAACGACCCTGCTACTATTGAGTTGTTGGAAAAGTCATGATGCATTTTTGCATAGAAAAAATACACCATGACTTTTCTGACAACCCAATATTAATATTATTGTTTTTATGTGCCTTTTTTTTTTTAAGTTTTTTGTGACTTGGCTCATACACTTGTAGAGAGAGACAGAAAAAGACACACTGAGAGGAAAAATGAGAAATCATCCCTGGGGGGATGGCCATGCTGTAGTCCCTTCTCTTCCATTCTCCTGCTGGGATTTTAGGGACATACACACACATGACTGGTGTGATTTTCAAGCTGCCAGGTCCAGGACTAAAACCACGTTCAGCCATGTGGGAGTACAGTGCCTAAACCACTATGCCACCTGCTAGTCCCTCTATGTGCTTTTCAAAACAATTTTCTATGTGCTTCCTTGATATTTAATTTTATTTCATAAGCAAATGTAAGGCAAAGATAAAATATGTGTGTCTGATCCTACATGTTAAAAATTATGCCAAAATAATACAAATATTTCTTTTATTCAACTGTAGCAACTCATACAGCTGCCCTTTAAACCATTCTTTCTTTATTTTAATTATTTTATTTAGCCTTATTTATTTATTTATTTTAATTTGACTAGAGAGGGACAGAGAAAGAGAGAAAGGGAAAGTGAGAAAGCAAGCTGCCAGGTTCAGGACGCGAACCACAGTCAAGCATGTGGGAGTCCAGTGCCCTTAACCACCATGCCACCTGCCAGCCCCAAGCCATTCTTTATTTTGTAAAAAAATCTGAAAACACCATTTCTTTCATTTAGGAATCATAAATTATATATGAATATGTTTCCTTTTTGTTTAATAAACATTTTATACTCTGATTTCCTGACTTATACAGATAATTCACCAATTTGTTCATTTTAGCTGAAAAAATTAGGTGTGATGCCACCGGAGCAGCCACTCCCTGTGAAATGTAATCGGATATACCAGATAATGTGGGCCAACAATGGTGACTCCATTAGCAGACAGTATGCAGGGACAGCTGCTCTGAAGGTAAATACATGCAGCAAGCATATATGGATTATTCTGTGGAATACAAAATAGACTGGTTTAAAATCAACTTTAATTTTTTTTTTCTCTTTTTTTTTTTTTGGGAGAGATTTTCACTGTAGGGTGCGTGCGCTCGCCAGACAGACAGAGAGAGACACAGAGAGACAGAAAGCGAGAAATCACCCCCCAGGGGGGATGGGCACGCACGCACACGCGCCCGGCGTGAGTTTTAAGCCACCGGGTCCGGGACACGAACCACGGTCAACTACGTGGGAATCCAGCGACATAGCCATTACGCTAACTGCTGGTTCCCAAATCAACTTTAATTTTGAGGGAGAGGTAGGTGGGCTATTGGTAGGTCTGTGTAGCTGACTTTTTTTTTTCTGGAATTTGTGGCAAGGCGCAGGGGTCAACTATCCTAATTACTGGAGAAGCCAGGAAATATGACACAAGCAGGTCACTCATTACTCAGAGACAGAGGTAAGATAGTGTAGATCTGAGGAGGAACATGTCCTGTCTTGGGAAGAACTAGTTTTTATAATTCTGTAGACAGGTCTGACCCCATTGTGGTTAGGAGAGCTGGATCCCACATGGCCAACCATTTCAAAACAACATAAACAAGACAGTCAAAACAAAACATGTATACTAGTGGGATTTGGCCCCAGTATGATACTTTGTCTTCTCTGAGTTTTAATCCTACCCTTGTTTTTTACTAGCTCTGTGCCCTTGGGTAAATCACTTAACCGTAATTCTCTCTCATTTGTGAAATGGGACTAGTAATAGGCCTATCTTAGAGGATTATTGTGGGATTATATGATGTTAGGATTTAGAACATTCCCTGACATATAGCAAATACTAAAGAAATATTTTATTATTTTCTTGTTTATAAATAAAATCTTTTGAAGATCTTAAAGAGCTAAGAGCTTTTTTAAAAAGAATTATTTATTTAATTTTATTTATTATTAATTTTTTAGAGGTTTTTGCTATAGGGCACATGTGCTCACCAGGGAGAGAGAGACAGAAAGTGAGAAATCACTCGCCAAGGGGAATGGCCACACCGCAATCGCTCTCCTCCATTCTCTTGGGGTCTTGGGCATGTATGTGCACCAGATTCGGTACTCAATCTATTGTTGACTTCATGGGAGTCCAGGGACATAACCGTTACACCATTTGCTGGTCTCTATTATTTTTTAATTTAACAAGAGAGAAACAGAAGAAAAGTGAGAAGAAAGTAAGCCACCAGATCTGGGACTCAAACCACAGTCAGCCATGTGGGATCCCAGGGCCTTAACCATTATGCCTCCTGCCAGCTCCCAGAGCAAGTCTATATAGAATTTTAAGTTAAGCTTAAACTATAGTCCTTAGTAATTAAATATTCTTTCTAGGGGCATTGTACTCTGTGGACAGTAGGAAGTAGTTGAATTATTTTAAATTAGATTTTCATTAATCTTCCTTCCGGTGATAGTTCATCTCAGGATTTTGTTATAGCAAATGATAACATTAAGTGCTCAAAGAGAGATTTTTGCTGTAGGGCATATGCACTCGACAGAGAGACAGAGAGGTACAGAAAGAGAAAAATCACTACCTGGGGGGATGGCCATGCCACAATCCCTTCTTCTCCATTCTCCTCTCAGAATCTTGAGCATACACACACACGTACCCAGTGTGAGTTTAAGTCACTGTTCCAGGATTCGGACTATGATAGACTATGTGGGAGTCCAGTGATGTAACCATTACACCATCTGCTGGTCCCACTAGCTTTTTTTAAAAGAAACTGTCAGAGGGTGTGTGTGCTCTCAAGAGAGGAGGAAAGGAGGAGGGAGAAAGAAACAGAGAAAGAAAAGGAGAAAGAGAAAGTAACTCCCAGTGAAATGTAGTCATGCAATAATATAATCTCTTCTCCATTTCTCAGTCTTGTCTGGATTTTGGACACATACACACAAATGCTTGGCACGCTTTTTAAGCCACCAGGAGGATTCAAATCACACAATTTGCCATATGGTATCTGGTTCCCTTAATTATCAGGCCACAGGGCTGCCCCCAGATGCTGTTAATTTTTAGTTGAGCAATAAATATCAAAATCTTCTTATTAAGGAAAGTAAACTTCAGAAGTTCTTGTTTAAGTTACTGTTTGAAGAAAACTACTTTTCCTTCCCTTGATTTTAAACTACTTTGAGATCAGCATTCATGCCTTTTTCTTCACAATAGATAGTTGTTGCTATACTAATATTCCTGCAAATGGCCTAATTAATTGTTCTTATATTGTCAGTTTTGGGACCAGGCCTGTTTCTGAGATTACTTTGGGTAGAAATAGTAGGATTGGGTTGGGAAGAAAAAGACTACATTTCTTGCTTGAAATTTAAGTTACTGCCTCTCTAAGGACTTGGTCTGACACCTTTGTTACGAAAATCCAGAGAAACAAAACAATTTAAATCTTCACAGGATTGTTCTACAGGTGATCGTAAAATGCAATGAGGTATGGAAACCTCTGGTCTTCCTCTCTTTATATCTACACACACACACACACACACACACACGTGCACACACACATGCACACATTAAATTTCATTATAGTAAATTCGAAGGAACTATCCACCCATGTTAGAGAATTGACTTTTGAATATTTTACCACTTTTAGGCTTGAAAAATCTTGTTGTTTTGGTGTTTGTTATATAATTGATTTTGTCCTATAAATTCTAGAAATTCTAAAGCATCATCTAATTGTGAAGACTTGATGACAAAAATAGCATGTTTCATTATTTGATATTCTGGGATCAGAATCAAATTCTAGTAGATGTTTTAATTTACATTATTTGGAAGTTATAGAACTTATAACTTGGGAATTATAAAAGTGAGTAGAGTTCCGATCTTGAACTGAAAGCCCACAACTGATTTTGAGAACATTCTTGTGTTTTGAGTAAATTGTTAAAATGCCTTTTTCTTTGACAGGGTGACTTTACAAGGACAGGAGAAAGGAAGTTAGCAGGAGTTATGAAAGATGGAGTTAACTCAGCAAATAGGTATTACCTCAATCGATTTAAGGATGCTTATAGGCAAGCCGTTATAGGTAAGGAGCAGAAATGCTTTTTTTTTTTTTTTTTAATTTACTATTCCTTTTGTGACTAACATTTTACAGAAACCAACTTCATTAGCATAAGTCATGATTTGTAATATATTTGTGTTTCTATATTGAGCATCTTACCCAATAAATCAAATTCAATTTTTTGTAAGATTAGAAATTGACAAATATTTTTGGTTAGAGCCACAAAAGAAACTATCTATTTCATATGTATTTATCAGTTTGATACCCATGTAATAGAAAGTAGAACAGAAGTTCCTAGAATGTTTTTCTGTTTGTTTTTCTATTATTCAAGGCTGAGCGATATAACCAGATGATTTTTCTTTTCCTGTATGCCATTTATCATAGATTCAGTCTGTGGATAAATACACCATCCCTTTCCATAAGCATAGACTAATTGAATATTAGGGTATCAGATTTAAACATTATCCTAAACAAATCATCATTGTTTAGAAGAGGAAATGAGAGGGTAGATTGTCTAAGGCAATTATGTATTGGCATATTTGTAATTTAATTTTCATGGAAATGCTTTAGGATTAACGTAAATGTAGAATGTTCCAGATTAGAACCAAATGTAACATAACCAACCTATGGTCCCTGAGAATCTTCTTAAAGTCCTGTTTTCTTTCCACCTGGTTACTTAGTATATGATGGGGTCTGGACACAAGTTTAGTAGGAATTTAGAAGTCTGGTATAAAGAAGTTTGATTCATTTGCCAGAGGTGGGAGATGCATGCTATGAGTAAATAATTGAATCTGGGGGGGACCAGCAGTTAGCGTAATGGCTATGTCGCTGGACTCCCACATAGTCGACTGCGGTTCGCGTCTTGGATCTGGTGGCTTAAAACTCACGCCGGGCGCATGTGCATGCGTGCCCAAGATCCCGAGAGGAGAACGGAAGAGAAGGGATTGCGATATGGCCATCCCCTCTGGGGGGTGATTTCTCACTTTCTATCTCTGTCTTTCTCTGTCTGTCGGGCGAGCGTACGCGCCCTATAGCAAAAAACCTCTAAAAAAAAAAAAAAAGAATTAAATTTTGGGAGTTTATTCAAGGAAAAAATAAAATAGCTTGCTTCCGTTGATTGACCTAGCATTTCAGGTATCACTGAGGACCTAGGATCTGTTCTTATCTCTGAGTAGTCATCCATTGGATTAGCTCATCCTGATGCTGAAGCTGGTGTTCTTCTCAGATGAGAGGTGTAGGCCAGTATTAGTCGGAGCTTATTGCTTCCCTGTGTAGGGCCAGTGGTTAGCGAATCTTTTCTAAAGATTCCTTTAGGCTTATTGTTCCAATAACTTCACAGCAAATGGGATCATAATGATTTTCTAAGGTGTCAGTGTATGCCCTACCAGGAGGAAGTTAGCTTGTCTATTCATATCTTTTACTTCTTTAAATATTGACTTATTTGTCTTTTTATTGAGTTGTAGATGTCTTTCTGTATCCTTGATACAAGTCCCTTACCAGATAGATAATTTGTAAATATATTTTTCTTTTACTATGGTTGTCTTTTCACTTTCACATTGGTGCTCTTTGGAACACAAATATTTTATACTTTGATGATGTCCAGTTTGCTGGCTCTCTTTTTCTTTTGGTGTTTACATTTTGGAGTCATAGCTAAAAAAAAGTGTAATCCAAGGTCACAAGGATATATGCTTATGTTTTCTCCTATGAGTTTTATAGTTTTAAGTCTTACTTTTTCTCTTTTATTTTAAAAAATGTTAGTAAACTAAGATGACAAGCAATATTTCCACTTCCATCCTAGATTTGATGCAAGGCATTCCAGTGACAGAAGATCTTTATTCCATATTTACCAAGGAGAAAGAGCATGAAGCTTTGCATAAAGAAAATCAGAGAAGTCACCAGGAGTTAATTAGCCAACTCTTACAAAGTTACATGAAGTTACTACTGCCTGATGATGAAAAGTTCCATGGGGGCTGGGCCCTCATTGATTGTGATCCCAGGTGAGTTGGAGTGGTGTCTTGTTGACTGACTTGCTTAACTTTCTGATGTTGGTAAGTTGTCATTAATGCTAGCAGCTGTCCTTAAGGCTATGGGCATGGATGCATGATGCATGGCAGTTTCTAGTACAGGGCTGGTATTAAGGCAAGCTGACTGAGGCATTCATCACCATGAAGAATTAGGAGGCCATTAAAAAAGCGCAATAACGGGGACCAGCAGTTGGCATAATGGCTGTGTTGCTGAATTACCATGTAGTCGATCAAGGTTTGAGTCCCGGACCTGGTGGCTTAAACTCACATTGGACGCATGTGCGTGTGTGCCCAAGATCCGAGAGGAAAAGGGATTGCCACGTGGCCATTCCCCCTGGGAGGTGATTTCTCGCTTTTTGTCTCTGTCTCTCTCTTTCTGGAGAGCACACGTGCCCTATAGCAAAAAAAACTCTCAAAAATAAAAAAACTCAATAATGAAGAGAAATATTTTAATGCAGTATTTGATATTCAAATGTGGCAAGGCCACTCTGTGGCCTTGTGGATAGGAGGCTGGACCTTACATGGCCAACTATGAAGTTTGAATTTTGGACCCAACAGCTTAAAAACAAATGTGTGTGTGTATGTGTGTGTGTGTGTGTGTGTGTGCTCATAATCCTGTTAGTTTGGAGAAATGGAAGGGCGAGGACTGCAGTGTGACCACACCCCATAACAGATGCTTTTTCCCTCTCTCTGGTGAGTGCATGTACCCTCTGGCAATTTTTTAAATTGGCACACTACTGCCTTGCAGCCGGGTGTGTGACCCTCCACTTCCACACCTCCAGAATCTAGGTTTTTGTAGTAGAGCACATGAGTGAGTGCAACAAGAGGTACAGTGATGTTGGTTATTTTTATTGGTCATAACATAATCTTGGCCTTCCATGAAACAAATAGGGACAGTGATACTTAACATTTTTTAGAGCAAAACCATCCAGATTGAAGTGGTTCTTCCAAATATCCATTAACAGCAGGATCTAACTAGACTGAATGCTTTTCTTTAGACTGAAATCTAAGATGATAACCATTTTTTTTTTTGAGAGGTTTTCGCTATAGGGTGCGTGTGCTCGCCAGACAGAGACATAGAGATAGAAAGCGAGAAATCACCCCCCAGAGGGGATAGTCACACCGCAATCCCTTCTCCTCCATTCTCCTCTCGGGATCTTGGGCATGCATGCACACACGCCCGGCGTGAGTTCTAAGCCACCGGGTCTGGGACGCGAACCGCGGTTGACTACGTGGGAGTCCAGCGACATAGCCATTACGCTAACTGCTGGTCCCAGATGATAATCTTTAATAGTATAAATCAGAAACATTTCAGTAAATTCTAGACCAAGCTTTTTAGCCTAAAGCATTCTATTTAGATTTTTATCTTATTTTACATTTTGTGTGTTTTTAATAAAAGGGGTATAAAGTAAGCTTGAAGGTACAATTAAACGCAAGATAGTACCTACATATATAAACAAGAATTAAAAACAACATTGACTGGGACCAACAGTTAGCGTAATGGCTATATTGCTGGACTCCCATGTAGTCGACTGCAGTTCGCGTCCCAGACCTGGTGACTTAAAACTCATGCCGGGCGCGTGTGCATGCGTGCCCAAGATCCTGAGAGGAAGAGGAGGAGAAGGGATTGTGGCATGGCCATCCCCCCTGGGGGGTGATTTCTCGCTTTCTGTTTCTCTGACTCTCTCTGTCTAGTAAGCGCATGCACCCTATAGCAAAAACCTCTCAAAGTACAACAACAACAACATTGACTATAGCTTCTATAGGGAAACTTTCCATGACTTTAAGCTCATGAACTATTTTGCTTTGATAGTAAATAATTTATGTATGATTGTAATTTATTTATTTATTATTTTTGGAGAGATTTTTGCTATAGGGCGCGTGCGCTTGCCAGACAGACAGAGACATAGAGACAAAAAGACAGAAATCACCCCCCAGGGGGGACGATCACACCGCAATCCCTTCTCCATTCTCCTCTCGGGATCTTGGGCACGCACGCACACACGCCCGGTGTGAGTTTTAAGCCACTGGGTCCGGGATGCGAACCACGGTCGGGGGCCCGGCGCCATAGCCATTACGCTAACTGCTGGTTCCCTGTATGATTGTAATTTACAGACTTTGAAAATAAGAGAAAATTTTCTTTACACAGAATTTAGCAGAAAATTTCTGCATTCTTTAAACTTTGGTAAAAATATTTTTATTCATGTGATTTAGTTTATTTTTTAATAATAACAATCCAACTTAATGCAATAACAACAGGATAGTATTTTTAATTCTCATTCAGAAATAACTGCAAGTAGCACGTCTGCCTGATGCTTAGGTTTTAACTATGTGTTTCTGTGTTTTTAAAGGTGTCGTGATTATTAACATCATCTTCCTTTGATCAAATGTTTTTGTTTCTACTTTGGGATAATTGAAATCAAGAAAAACCCAATGGTTTATTTATTCTTCTTCTTTTTTTTTTTTTAACTTTATTTATTTATTTATTTTTATTTGACCAGAGAAGCACAAAATGAGAGAGAGAGAGAGAAAGAAAGAGAGAGAGAGAGAGAGAGAGAGAGAGAGAGAGAGAGAGAAAATGAGAAAGCAATCTTCCACGCCCAGGACTTGAACCACAGTCGGCCATGTGGGAGTCCAGTGCCCTTAACCACCACGTTACCTGCTGGACCCACCCCCCAATGGTTTATTTCTAATGCTAGTTATCATTTTGTAGGATGACACTGCATATGATTTTGTTTCCTGTCCCATAATTTGTGGAAAGTTAGTACCCTGGGTAATAAGTATAAAAAAATACAGAGTGTATAGCTATGCTGTTTAAAGCTTATCAAATAAATAAATAAATAAATAAAAATGGGTATGCATACTTTGTTAAGAGTCGTTAAAAGCTTCTTGCAGAGCTTTATGAAAAGTCTCATATTTATTTCCAGCCATTGAATTTACCAAAACAATGGTGAAACAAAAATACTCTTCTTGGATTAGGCATTTAAGAAATCATTGTTGAGTAGTTAGAGTCTTAAATCTCTCAAGTTCTCCTATCAAATGTTGACCTTAGAAATATAATTGTGCTTCAGTGTTTTTATCTTTTGTTCATTAAGATGATGAATTATGAGGGTACTTGAAAAGGTTTGTGGGAAAATGGAATTAAAGTATGAGTTTAGGGCTAGCAGTGGCGGGCAGCTGGATCCCACATAGCTGACCGAACAGCTTGAGTCCCAGACCCAGTGGCTTGAAAAACAGGCCAGATGTGTGTGTGTGTGTGTGTGTTTGACCAAAATCCTGAGAGGAAAATGGAGGAGAAGAGATTAGAGCCTGGCCATCTCCCCTGAGAGGGGTGATTTCTCACTTTCTGTTTGTTTATTGTTTTTTTTCCTCTCTCTTTTTCTTTCTTTTCTTTCTGTCTGTGTCTCTCTCGCTCTGGCGAGTGCATGTGCCCTGTAGCAAACTTAATTTTTTTTTTTAATTATGAGTTTGTTCAAGTGTGTAGACATTTTTTTGGAAGACTCTTGGTTCTTCTCCTTTTTCTAATTTTTTACCATCCCTCTCTAATGCCCAGCAATGGCACTCCACATTTCTTTTTACCCCTGCATTATTAAATCTAGTTTTCTGATAAAAGGGAGCCAGTGGTTGTCTTTGCTCGTCTTCTTCAATTAAAGCTCCTAATAAAGAATAACTTCACATCAATAGTACGTGCTAGACAGCATGGGTAGTACCTCTTTACAGCATGGGTAGTGCCTCTTTCACTTTGGTCATTGCTGCTTTGGGGCTATATTGGTGAGGAGTACTTCCCCAAAAAACAGAGCTCATTTTTCCTTCACTACAAGTTTGTAGTGAAATTAAGCTTGTAGCTCTTTTAGTTCTATACTGTAACACCATAGGTGTTAATTAGGCCCAGGGCTTGTGTGCTGCAGGCTAAGTCTCCTGAGTAGTGTTCAATTTGGTGTTGTATTTCCTGCCTTTCTTCTAAGGTCAAGGCACAATGTTTTCATCCTCTAATTCTTTCTTAAATGGTCAGTTTCTAAGAGTGATTGTAAGACTATCTTTGCCCGATTTACTTGCCAAAGTCTCCATTGCCATTTCATCCTCATCCTTTTCCTTGTGATCATTGGCCTACAAAGTAGCCCATCAGAGTCACTGTCCTTGCCTAGGAATTCCCTTTGACCTTTGTCCTCTGAGACACTGAAAGATTCTGAATATTCTCCCATCAACCCAGGAATGATTAGCTGTGGTGCTGTCTTTCCTATCTTGTAGGTTGTGGACTTAGTTTGAGTTTTCTCTACTAACATGGAAGCCAGTGCTTTATTGAGAGTGGTTCTGTTTTTGCCTTTTCAATCTGGAGAAACTGACTGTGGTCTAAAGCAGGAAATCTCCACTGCTTAACCAGGACAACAGGAGTATCTGAGGGAATGAGGTGCTTATTCTCATAAGAGGAGGTGGATCAGAGTGTGCAGAGGGATCATAGACTCGAGAAATATATGTGTTGCCTGTCTGTTCCTTGGTAAGGTTTGAAACTCTCAACTCTGGTCTCAGAAACATCCCTAAGATTGACTATGCCAAATAGGTTACATCTTACAGTGGTTGAGATGTTGGCTGTTTGCTAATTTTTTTTTATTATTTTTTTTTTTTGGTTCTCACCATTACTATTTTACTAGAAACCACTTCCTTTGAATTTTTGAGACAGAAAAAGGTAGATGGAATAGATAGTGAAGCTGATGCTTTATTTTTTTAGAGGTTTTTGCTATAGGGTGTGTATGCTCGCCAGACAGAGAGAGAGAGACAGACAGAGGGACAGAAAGCGAGAAATCACCCCCCAGGGGGGATGGCCACGCCACAGTCCTTCTCCTCCATTCTCCTCTCGGGATCTTGGGCACGCACGTACATGTGCCTAGGGTGAGCTTTAAGCCACTGGATCTGGGACGCGAACCACAGTCGACTGCGTGGGAGTCTAGCGACATAGCCATTATGCCAACTGCTGGTCCGAAGCTGATGCTTTAAAACCAGTGACTTCTCAGGTCATGTTTTGGCATGTTGGCTTGAGTAGGATAGGGACTGTCCACCAGCAGTGTTGTTTTTCTTTTGTTGTTGTTGTTGTTGTTGTTGTTTTAATTACCCTTTGACTAGCCACACCATGAGCCCATTTCGGAGGCCCAGGTGGTTTGGAGGTTTAGGTTTGGATCTGGACTTAGGGCGATCTTGAGGAGGTGGAACAGGAGCCATTAGTGTCTCAGAGTGGTTTTCAGGGTTCTTCTTTCTTCTGCCTTTTTTCCCCTAGGGATGGTGCTATTTCAGATATAGAACCATTACTTGCTTCAGATTTTACATTTTCTCCTGTACTCTAATGGTTATTACACACTTACTTGAGTTTTCAAAGTTAACTATTACCTATCCATCTTGATTAGACAATTTTTTAAAAAATTCCCCTTACTAGCACCAATTTGTTGTTTTTATTTACAGTGTTTTCCAGGGCCATCCATGTTGTAGGATATATCAGAATTTCATTCCTTTTTATAGCTGAACAGTACTTCATTGAATGGATATACCACATTTTGTTTTTCCATTCTTTTATTGATAGACATTTGGGTTATTTCCACATTTTGACCATTACAAATAGAGCTGCTGTGAAAATTTGTGTACAAGTTTTGTTTCAACATTTGTATTCAGTACTTTTGGGTATATATCAAGGAGTGGAAATAGCTGGATCATATGGTAATACTGTTGAATTTTTAAAAAAGTACCAAACTATTTTCCACACTGGCAACAACCAGCAGAGTATGAGGATTCTGATTTCTCTGGGTCCTCACCAATACTTTTTTTTTTTTTAATTGTAGTCTGTCCTAGTGAGTGTGACGTGGTATCTCACTGCCGTTTTGGTTTGCATTTCCCTAATGACAAATGATTTATCCTTTTTTGCCACTTTTTATAACTTTATTCAAAAAAAATACTCCAATCCTTTGTCCACTTTTAATTGAGTCTTCTTGTGGTTGAGTTATAAAGATTTACTGGAACAGGGTCAGACAAGGAATGCAGGGTTGTGCAAGCGCAGTTTGGATCTTGTCTTTAAATTTCTGTTATTTTCATCACATTTTAAAATTAATTTTGATTTAAAAAAGAACACCGTACTAGTAAGTTATCTTGATGACTTTGTTTTTTGGTGTCCTCTTAAATTTTTGCCAGAGATAGCAGCTAACACAACTCACTGCAGTTCCAGCCCTATTTAAATATCTAGTAAAAAATGTATGGTAAGCCATGTACAAATGCCCTGTCCTGTGCAAAGAAGCAAGAGGGGCTGCCATTCTGCCCCTTTCCTCAACTCCCACACTCCTCCTGGAACTGTCCAATACAAGTGGTTTGCTTACTTTCTTCCTTTCCTTGGTGCTCACTTGACGCTCACTCCAGGCCCAGAGCCTTTTTTTTTTTTTAATCCCTCTTCAAACACTGAGCACAGCTCTGTTCATTCCAATTTAGACTCTGGCATGTACGGGTCAAACCTCTCTGGGCTTTTTTTTTTTTTTTTTGGGTCCTTCCCGCCTCTTCCTCTCCTGCCCACACTTATTGTAGAAAATTGACTCTATGGGCTGCGGGAAGGAGGAATTTTCAATTTGAAGGGAAATCAGGGCTATTGTAGAGGCAGGTGCCCTTCAACATCTCCACAAAGCCAACTACTTTTCCCAGCCCTATTCAACTCGCTTTTCATACACCGAAGTAAATTGCTTCTTTCTACACCGTTAGTTGAGTGGCTAGGTCTGCGGCAGCCGTTCTTCCTAGGCATGTGGTGGTACAAGGGACAGATGCTTGTCCACTGCATCCCATCCCATTTGCCCTCGGGCCGTGGGTACAGTCTCTTCCCAAGGCGGTAGTGAACTCTCACGGGAGCCTTCCACCTTGGTACTGCTCCCCTGCGGGGCCGGGGTCGGTGCCCTCCATGGAGGGCGCAGGATGCGCAGGACTGAGTGCGCATGCGCACTGGCCACCTGCCGCGGCCGGAAGTAAGCGTCCCGGAAACTAGACGTGTCCCATGGGCGTGACTTGGCGCGGCCGCATCGCAGTTGCCGCATTCACCGCATTCGCTGCAGGCGCGAGGTTGGCTGCAGGCGGCTCTCTGAGCTTCGAGGCATCGACGGACGGACGGACTGACGGACGGACGGACTAACGATGCCGCGCTCCCACAGGCCTCCACCTACCGCGCAGCGGGCAGCTACCGCTGCTGCCGCCGAACCCAAGTCTGACGGCGTTTTGGGCATGACTTTCAAGATTTTTTTTCAAGATTTTTCTCCTTTTTGCAGGACTTATGATTAAATTTCCTGTGGGGTTATATTTTTCCTGTAAATTACTTCTTTTCCAAAGTCTGATGTTAATGTCCCCTGAAGACAGCGCCTTTTATGCGACCATTGTCGCGGTGGTCGGGCTTCATGTGGTGCTGGCAATTTTTGTCTTCATAGTGTGGAAGGAGGGCTTGCCTCAGTGGCGGGAAAACAAAAACGAATAGAGCAGCTTTCTCTTTAGAGCTGCAAACAGTGGGGGGTGGGGAGTACCTACAGGGTTATTCATTTCGTTTATCGTTTGTATTAAACGTGCTTTTTGTTTTGTTATGTTTTGTTTTTAAAGGGGAAGGGTGGATGGGGAGGGAATTAAGTATTTACTGCAGCTAAGCCTTCAGTAAAAATGGGGTTGGGGGGAGGGCTGACATTTTCGACCGCCTGTTACGTGCCAAGTGCTTTTCATTAAGGACATAATGTTTTTGACTGAGGATCATGTTTGACTGATGTAAATGTTAATGCCAAAACAGGAAACTAGGATGAAAGTAACACTGTAATTAGTAGGAGTAGAATTTATTTCGTATTAAAATTTGTGTCATGACGTAAGTCGTGACGTAATTTTTATGGCTTGACTCAAGCAACAATTTTCAGAGTGCACGTAAGTATCGATGCACTAAACTACAATAAATAACATTTTACGGCGTTCGTGGGTGATTTTCAGTGAAGCTGCCAGATCCTTGACTTTCCGTTTTTTGTTTTTTTTCTCCCCTCATCAATTAATTGGCTAGTGCTCAAATTTAGGCTCCTAGAATCCATCTGTCTGTTAGGTTCTGGCATCTTGTTATCTCATTTGCTGTATTTTTTTGTATATTATTTTAGGTGAAAATTAGGGTGCATTTGTTATTTTAAAGTAAGACTCTTATGTTAGAGTTACACTGCAACAAGGTGCCACTGATGTAGAAAACTGCAGTTTAAGATTTTGGTTAATTCTTCCCCGCAGTACCCCTTAAACAATGACCTCATTCTTACGCAGATTAGTGTTTTTTAAGTTCCCTCTAAATTTTTTTTTTTTTACTATTGCTTTCCGGTGGCATTTTGATAAGGTATAGCAAGTAGCTATGAAATTCTAAGGCAGAAATGTCCACTTGGAATTTGGAGAGCACTACAAGAATACAGATTAATCTCTACTTTCTGGTGGAAAAACTGTCATTAATACTGATTAATATTTAAAGTATTTGAGTTCAGATTCTGTATGTGTTGTTTGATCATTTTCTTGTAATTTTACAAGGGTGTGTATTTTACAGTAGTTTTGGTTTAATAGTTCATCTGGTTTCTAACCTTTATTGTGATGATATTTGAGAGTGGATATAAATATTGCTAAGTGGACTTAGAAATAGGAAATGTTTACTTGTTCCCTGAAAGCCAGGTAAATTAATGTATAGTGAGAAAAATGCAAAGGTTGCTTGGATTTGCTCTACTTTTGCACATAAATGTTACTTTGGAAAATTCATTGAAAAGATGTATTCTACATGAGTATATATTCTAAATGTGTGCTGTGTTATTTTGAAGGTCAGGTAATGAGATAATCTAGATGATTTCTCTCTTCTCAATCTCAACATTTTCCTTTCCAGTAGCCATCTCTGCCATCTTTCAACAACTGCCTGCCACTCAATTATCCCATTTCCCTAGAGGACTCCATAGTGGCTGCCTCTCTCTGGGAAGGGACCTCTCCTCAGCTCCAGCCCTTCCTTCCACCTCCCCCCACCCACCCCCACTTCCCAGATCTGTTTATTTTGTTAAGAATTTTTTTCTAAATGAATAGGTTGTATTACATTTAATTTGAGAAGTAGAGCTCACTGATTATTTGATTTTCTTCTTTTCTTCCTTCATGGCCAATCTTTTGTCATAAGTGACTGCTGGTAAAAATAAGCTTAGTAAAAATGCAGATGAAAATATTTAATTCCTTGTGTCATGTTTGTTTAGCCTCATTGATGCTACTCACAGAGATGTGGATGTGCTGTTACTGCTTTCTAACTCTGCCTACTACGTGGCCTAGTAAGTTGCTTATTGATTTAAAGGTTTTGTTTTTCAAACTTGAATAATTTCACTTGTAGAATTCATAACAGCTTTTGAATCTGGTTTTGCTATATATTTTATGAATCTTCATTGAATCCTTTTATCTAAGTGTTATATCAATCTGACACCCTTTTATCAGATAGAAAATGGGATTTGGGAGTTATAATTGATGTGTTTATGTGTTCTTTTAGCATTCCGTATTCTTTCCTGGACATCTCCCAACTTTTGATATAGTCTGTATTTTTATTATTAGAGGCCATATATCAGTTTGTACTACCCTTCCATGGTTGTTTCCCCATTGTAAGGCATTGAATTGCTTCTGATTTTTTTCTGTTATAAATGGTGCAGCCATCTTTATGTAAATAATGTGTGTGTTTGTACACACACGAATGCATGCTTCTCATTGACCTCAAGGGTATGATGGACTATATGATTTGTGGTTTCTTGTTCTCTGGAAGGATTATCAATTAACAGTGTCACTAGTAAAGTACAAGGACTCATTTCCTCATACCTTACCAGAATTTAATTTTAATTTTATATGTTGTAAGTAAACATTCACTAATTTTTGGCTTTGTGTGAGCTGTCATTTTTTTTTATTTTTAATCATTGCTTTAGATGCCTGTTGGCTTATACCATGTGGATTTTCATTCTTGATTTTGGATATTGACTTATCTGCTGTATTATTCACAGATACATAGCTTTAGTAAACATGTGTGTATGTGTGTTTTGCTTGCCTTTTGGAGGTTAGGTTTTAGGTTTATTTATTTCATTTATTTGAAGTTTCTATAAAACTGAAATTACCTTGTAATTGATTTTTTTTTTTAGTGTCAGATCTAAAACCAGTTTTTATTTAGCTGTTAAACCATGTATGCTATTCCTGTTTAATCTAGTTTTTAAATATTTTAGTTTAACTTTTTAACTACCCCAGAAGGTATTGTGCTGTGGAAAACTGTAGTTTGCTTATGTTGTATGTACCTCAGCTGAAAAGCTAAATGTGCTTTTCATTTTAATTTTCTTTTTACTCCCTTTCTTTTTATCTAGTTATGATGATGAAGTTGATAAAGTAAACCAGTATCAACGACTAAGTCTAGAAGACCTGGAAAAAATAGAAATAGGTAACTTTAACATACTAACCAAGTCATAGAAAGCACATGTTGCTTCCAAGAGTGAGTCAAGTTATTTAAGCAACCAGTGTGTCCATTAGAAACTAGAAAGAAATGCTCCAAGGAATCTATTTTGTAGGACCTCCTTTCTGTTCTTCAGAAATTAGTAATGTGCATAGTCTAAAAATACCCGTATTCCTTTTGTTATTTAACTTATGAAGATTAACCCAGGGATTGAGAAAGTTTAAATGAGACTGAAGAAGAGCTTTTATTGCCTCATCAAAGCAAGAGCTTTGAATCAAAGCAATAAGCTTAAATTTTGTGTGCTATCATTTAGATTATCATTATCATTTAGATTATCATTAGGAAAATGTGCTAACTACCTCATGAACACGTGTTAGTCTTTTAAAATACAGAAGTGAATGTTATGTGAAAGATAATGACTTTATACATATTGATTTGGGTTTTTAGGTCCTGAACCTACTCTTTTTGGTAAGCCAAAGTTCTCCTGCATGCGATTGCACTACAGATACAAAAAAGCAAGTGGCTATTTCCACACACTGAGAGCTGTAATGCGCAATCCAGAAGAGGACGGAAAAGGTAAAAAGATGAAGTGATGAAACTGATGAGCAGTAATTTTATATCAGCTGCTACAAGGCCAAATGGAATTGGGGACAGTATATACCATAACCAAGTGAATGAGAACTGATCAGGGAAGAGCTTTGGGATTTGAGACTTGAAATAGTAAATCTGGTTCCCAGAAGTGCAGGGAATCATTTAAATGAAGTTTGAGGCAAGGGATTCTAGAGGGAATTCTGAATGTGTTTGGCCTTATTAGAAGCCTGGTGTAGCAGGCAGGGACCATGGGTATTGCCTGGGCATTTAGCACAGTACTTAGATAAACATGAGTTAGAACAGTTCTTTTTTTTTTT